CCCCCCCACTTGACAAGAGGAGAACACAGAATATGTGTTGCAAGAGATAGGGTATAAAATCTTGTAGTTACCACTTGGTAAAATAGAAGGGAAGAAAAGGCTGAACAAAAGAAGTCACAAATGCAAATCCTTATCAGATAGTTAGGTAAGAGAAGTAGATGGTGTGTGATAAGATGTGGGTGACAGGCACACTGACAAAGCACCACCCACCGCCACTCACTACCATCCACTCACCACTCACTACCATCAAGTTGATTCTGACTCACAGTGACCCTACAGGGCAGAGTAGAACTGCCCCATAGGGTTTCCATAGCTGTAAATCTTTATGGAAACAGACTGCCTCATCCTTCTCCCTTGGAGTGGCTGATGGATTTGAACTGCCAACCTTTTGATTAGCTGTTGTTTTGCTTACCTAGTGCCACTCTGACAGGAATATACCACAAATGGGTGACTTGAACAAACAGGAGTTTATTCTCTTACAGCTTTGGAGGCTAGAAGTCCGAGTTCAAAGTGCGAGGCTCTGGGGGCTGGGAAAGCCCCTCAACCTTGGGCTTCAGCTCTGCCTCCTGCTCCTGGCCCACTGAAGCTAGAGGCTTTCTTTACTTAGGCAGCTGCTGGCTGCTGAGGCTGACAAGCCCACGGTCGACAAGTAAAAAGACACAGTCCCGATATTACCAAACCACATGACACGCCGCTAATTCAAGTCCAGAGACAGTACCAAGATTGCCAGGAAACATGGCAGGCTGCTAAACGAAGACTCAGCTACATGCAGGGTCCAAGCATGCCATCAAAGCTACAGACCTTCCTCAAAGTTGCTTCTTCTATAGTAGAAGCAGACTACACCCCTAAAGCAACTTAGCTGCTCTAGTAGATTCCACCATGGAGTCGATTACCAGTCTCATCATGGGGAATACTACAGCCAGCTGCCCAGCCACTCAAAACCAGGCCTAGCCAAGTTGACACACAACCTTAACTACCACAACTGTCCAATGCTTTAACCACAGCACCACCAGGGGTGCTCTGACAAAGTGCAGGGGGGCAAACCCCAGCTAAATGCATTCAAATTTAATTGTTTAAAACATTGTCCGGACCAAACAATGTTTCAGTGCAGCATTTGGCTAGGTCCTGACTTAAAATCGTCTTCTCCCTCAGTCTTTATCTTAACTTCATGAGGGTAAAGACAGCTATACACGCACAACAATATCAGTGTATCTTTGAGTATCTAAGTACTAAACTTGTAGGGGTGGGAGATCACAGGTCCTACAGGGAGGCTGGAGGTGGGAGGAGAGAGAATCACAGATTGAGAGAAGGAAGAAGATGCCAAGGAAGCACTAGCTGACAGTGAGCACTCTTACATTTCATCAAGAGAATCTTGTAAGGTTGACCTTATGGTTGAGAAAGTAGGCTCAGAGAGGTTAAGTAACTTTCCCCAGGTCACAAAGCAAATTATTAAACTGGGATTGAAGCTGCAATCAATCTGATGCTAAAATCATGTTGCATCCACTCACGTGTAGTGTTAGACTTCCTTCAGATTCCCAGAAAATATAGTTTATAAAAAGATTTTCAAGCATGGTGACCTGAGCAGGAATTGAGTTCACAAATTTATTACGTATTTTTCAGACTGACATTTTCCTAAAACTGGAAATATTACAGTTACCGTTCACTGAACATATCCTATGGGACAGCACCATGTTTAGGGCTTCAAAAGAGTCCTACGGAGGAGGTCGTTCATTTTAGAGATGAGGAAACCAGACTTTAGAAACAAAGGAGCTAGACCCAAAATGAAGAGATTGGAGCTG